CATGACAGTCTCTGGGCTGCTGAAGACCTCGCCCACCTGCTTGTTGACCCTCTGGCATAGGACTGCAGTGTCCTCAAACACATCGTTCCTCAGGTATGCCCCCTAGAGACAGAAAAGGGTTAATCAAGAGACTGTGGATATTACTGGCCCCCAAAACATGCAATGTAACACATAAGAGGAACTTTTTTACTCACTTCTTGACACTGTTTGATATAGACGTCTACACAATGTGCATAGCCCTTAAGAAAAAAGACACAGGAGTTACTACAGTACAACAAGTGACCATTTCAATCATCACACTCAACACATAAATTAATTATATCAAATGCAGACAAAAATGATCACCTTGAAATGTAATAGAACTGCCGCAACTTCCCTCATACGTCCGATTTCACCCCTGCGCTGGGCAGCAGTGAACTCCTGGATTAACTGTCGCTCCAGGTCATGGTACTTACCTGGATAGAAAAGTAAACACAAAGAAATACAAAAATCATACAAACATTTCCAGCTAACTTTGTATTTTTAATCATTATATTGAAGATGGTAGTGTATGATGAGATTTGTCGCAAACTTACTGGCAATTTTTGCCTTGACATCTGCAAACCTGTCAGAGAAAAACACAACAAATCATTCAAGAGACAACTATAAATCCCACAATCAAGGTCAAAAGGTAATGTGCGCTTTATTTCTAGAAACGCATTGATTTCGAAAAAATGCTTAAATACTTGATATAATCTGCAATGGCCTTAAACAACCAGGAATAGTCGACATCACTAATGCACCACCTTCCTCTTGTCTGACAGTGCTCTTGTCTAAAGCTGCCTTCAGGATGCCTGACTCACCTGTCGAATGGCAGCTCCTGGGCAATGAGATGCAGCTTCTGAATGATATCAGCAGCCTCCTTAATCTGAAGAAGAGAGAGAGAGAGAGAGAGAGAGAAGCGGCAAGTGAGTGTGTGTGAGAGAGAGAGATGTAAGGTAAGGGAAAAAGAGAGAGAGCACGACAGAACCATGAGAGGTGGACATCCAGACAGAAAGCGGGCAGGCCGCCGGCGGTGTCTCCACTTGGGGATCATCATCTTAGAGCAGCCCTCCTCCACCTCCCTGTGTTGAACAGGGAGCTGATAACAGACAGGCTGTGCTCACCTGGGCATCGGCAGCAACAACAGCAGCAGCAGTCCTGACTTAGCAGCACATCCAACTCTTTATTGGCATGCCTTTTCTGAATGGGCTGTAATCCCAGAGGAGTCTAAATCGCCTTCAATAATCTGTCCGGCCAGGGATATCTGTCTAAAAAAAGGGGGCCCTGTCGAGAACCCCCCTCCCCCGCCCCTCCTGACATACACGCTGGCTGAAAAAGCCCCAGACCTACGAAAGGCCCGCCGTCCGCAACTCCTCTGTTCCTGCAGATGCCTGCCTCAGCTAACATCATTACTCTGCTCCCGTGAGGAGGATCCAGCCTTTCTGCTCGGCGAAGGTTTTCTAAGTATCTGTCCCCCAGCTAAGATTAGCTAAATCCCATGTAAGTAATGTAGCCGTCTCCCTGCAGTCAGGGTTTAGCAGCACTTGTCTCCACGCTGGCGGCCCAGCCCTCCCTTTCAGAAGGATTAGCAAAGCCACCCCCCTTCAGCTATTCACTTGCAGCTTTCCTCTTTCCCCCTTGTCTGGAGGTATGCTCAGGAAAAGGAATCTGGCCAGATATTTCTGCATGCCTCTCCAGAAAACGAGCTCCATCTCCAGCTCTCGTCTCTGGGATTGACCCCAAGACTCGCTGCTCTGCATCCACTAATGATGTTCCTACCAACAGGAATTAATCTGAAGCGTCCCAGCCTCTCGTTGTCACTTACAAAACTGCAAAATCCAACTTTCAGGGGGTCACTTTTCTAACATCTACACAGCCTCTGTGGAGGCTGAAACTATGTGCGTCTCATCTCACAGCATCCATGTTATAGCCACCTTTAAATGTACGATCACGCCACAGGCTCTTTGCCTCTGTAATGCGGCACAAAGCTGAGGACCATCTAAATTCTTGCTCCGAGACAACTTACTGGAAATGCAATTAGGGTTGACATGAGCATGTTGACATCCATGTGAGTCGATCACCCAGCTATTGTCAGGCAGCGAATGACAGTTTATTAATCCAAATTAGCCGAGGGATCCAACTAAAGGGATAAACTTGACAAATTAATATGGATGCTTTACCTCCTAATCCTGTTCATTCTTACCTCCAGCAATATCACAGCAGGGGACCTTGTCAATGGTCACACTCACACACCTCCGCCAAAGTGAATGGAACGAAGGCGTACAGCATACGCACCTTGTCTGGGTTATTGAAGACGTCACTGCGTAGGTCTCCATCCAGGAACTCGTTGAAGTAGGTCATCAGACGCTGAGCCTCCACAGCCCTCTGCCGGGGTGTGTTCACGCCCTCCAGCTGGTCGCCAAGGTGACAAACCTTGGTGGCCACATAGCTGATGTGCTCGTCAAGCTCTTGGAAATGCTGGAAGGCCACCTGAATTGACACAGAACAGTGAAGACGTTAAAAATAGATGAAGAATTCTGTGTTATATGTTATAAATAAAAATAACATTAGCAAGCTCAAATACATTCAGGTGGCTGTCGATGTTATGGCTCATATTTGACGATACAACAAACCTGGTTGCTCCTCTGCAAGTCTTGCACTTTGTGGGCAAATTCCTTGGCTTCACGATGACACTGATGCTCTAGCTTCTCCACCCGCCGCTGGATCCTCTCATCCAGCTGCTTTAGCTCCTCTATGTGGTTCTCAAACTCCTCTAAGAGCCTATAACAGAGGAGAGAAGGTATGTGGATCCAGAACTTCATAACACACAAGTAAAAACACACAAACATTGCTTTTATTCATGAGGAAGTAATTGCAGAACACAAGGTTAAATCTGTCCCACTGACCTCACACTTACAGTTAATAGTACCGGATGCTTAATTCCTGGGTCCCCAGACTTAAGAAGCTCTGAGAACTAGCAGCTTCGTCAGCTGCATTTTAAGTGTCACCAGGACCGCAGAGCAAATGTTCTAAGTCAGCACCACATTTCACAGAGTAAGAAACATCCCAAAATGATGAGTGTATAATCTCTTGACTAATTCCCTCAGCACTGGCTACAGCTTAAAGACATCTCCCATCCCTTCCCAATAGACACTCATTCCCTGGCTGGTGACTCACAGTATGGTGGCCTCCACAGATATGTTGTCTCTGACTCCTCGCTAAGAGCTTCCAACGAGGTGGAAGCAACAATTTTGTGAAGGAGGAAGATAAGGCAGGACGGATCTACAGTACAGTTAAAGTGTTATGGCATTTTTGCTTACGAGACGTAAGTAGGTCCCCAAGTATAAACACAACAACAAGCAGTGAAAATGCCATGGAAAAAAATCTTTGACACTGATATTTCTCCAACCTAACCATCAAAGACATCGAATTGGCATAGAGGACACCAAGATGAGAAGTGTAAAAGGACAAACTTCAGTTTCTCAGAGTAATTGGCAAGTTAACACTGAAAGGTATCCATCAAGAACCATAATCTATAGTAAAATATTTTCATTGTACAATTTATCTAGTGATTTTTCTGAAAATAAACTCAAAAAGGGGCATCTTTACTCTTCAAAGAGTCAGAAACTTCCTGACAAGTAGGATAAATGGCTCTAAAAATACAAAGGATTGGAGGATAAATAGAGTACTATGTACACAAATACATTTTCAGGTTTACTAATACTTCTTGACTTGACTATTAATAAAACATCTTTCTGAGAACTTTTGTTTGTCGTTTTCATAGAAATATTCAAGTTCATTTTACATACAAGTAAAAAGTGCATTTTATACAATTTAATAACTCATTGTTAACTGTCTGCAGTTTATTGTTATTATGCAAAAAATGCTCTTGCCAGTGCAGCAGTGGAGTGTTAATCTGAAAATAAAGTGTCAATAATAAATGTAATAGGCAGCATAACCTGCAGTATGAGATCCCACTAAACTACTGCCTCATATTCAGAATAATCTGATGGGTTAGGGGGTAGAGCCACTCCTCAGACCAGAAGGTTGTCCCCATCTGTATGCCGAAGTGTCCTTAGGTAAGATACTGAAACCTGAATTGTATAGAAAAAGTGCTGTCTGTAGATGCACTGCATGAATGTGTGTGAATGGCAACAACCTGCACTGTAAGGCGCTTTGAGTGGTCATCAAAACTGGAGAAGCTCTTCATAAATACAGACCATGTGTGTGCTGGGAATATGAATAAGAATAAAAAGCTGCTTCTGTACCTTTTAGGGTCAAAAGCCTCAGCTCCTCCTTTGGAGCCTCCTCCAGGAGTCCTCCATGCCAACCTCTCAATGTACTCATCCGCGTCAAAGGGCTCCTGGGGGGGGGGGGGGTGTCATGTTAGTGCTGAGGGTCACCTCCACATACGATCATTCAAACACTGAATCTCATGTAGTGATAATAAAAGCACACACACTGGGTAACTGATAGAACGGCTGATAACAGCTAATAACGATGCAATTTCTTCGATTCGTGAAATAAACCGGATTCGTCCCAAACAGTTTTCACAACATGAAGCACACTTCCTCTCAGCTGCTTGAGTCCATATTAGACCTTAATAACCCAGTGAATACTGACGGGCACCGTTAGGCTGCCGTTTACGATAGTTAGCAGCCTTGCTAACCTGACAGCTAACACAGCTCCGGTCATTTTACCTCGAACAGCTGAGCGGTCGTCGCCATGTTGACGCTTCGGCTGGCTTCGTGTTGAGATGCAGGTCAGGAGAAGGAGCTCGGAGTCGGTAAAGCCGCCGACTTCCGCATGGATTTGGCGATTTGGTGCAGTTTCGCCCTTTGTTGACAGCCTGATGATTAGCAGCCCAGCTTCCTGTATGAGAGCAGGGTGGGGATGGCTGCGGCCCAGTGCGCACGCGCCGGTGTCGGCTGATTGGCGGTGGAAGTCACGTGACACAACAACAGGAAGTCGGTCCACCGTGGATGTATCATGAGACCGCAGCGAGTTTGATCTGTGACAGAATGTGATCGAACATGATGAAAGTCAGGTTTGATTTTTCCCACGTGAGGATTTAGTGCAGCCGGAGAAATGAGTGTACGAGCTTTGTGGATTATTTCTCGCGAGAAGGGAGAAAATGTGTCGATACCATTCTCAAGGTTTGTAACTTAATGTTGTCCCGCTACGATCTGTCACATAGCTTATAGCTGCGCGTTTTAATGTCTCGTCTAATCTTCAGTTCATTTAATATAGTCTGAAACTAACTTACTAACGTGCTAACATGTATTATCATTATCATCATCATCATTAATATGAATAATCATATAAATGTGTGTAATTATAAAAATATTTTACAAATATTTGTTGATAATATTTTATTCGCATGTTATCTGGTGGTGTTTCCTCCTTGTACAGCCACGTGTTATGTTAACAAAGCACTTTATTGTTATTGTTATTTCCTATACTTCCTACAGGTCATCAGCATATTGCATCATTCTTGTGTCTCACCCCCACAGGAGGTTCCCCACTGTGGAGCACCGTGCTAAATGCCTGGCAGGTTCCTCCTATGTAGCAGTCCCAGAGGACAGCACTGTGCTGCAGCTACTCCTCACTGAGCTGGGCCTCTCCGAGCCAGACAAGTCTTATGTGGCTCTCAGAGACGACTGCCTTCATCGCCAGCGGTCACCGGCACTGGAGCTGCATGTGGATGGTCCTGGAAAGGGAATACTGTGGCCAGTGTTGGCCATCTCACAAGGGCCCCTTATCCTGGCTTGCCTGTGTTTAGTGGATGCCCCTCCTGAGCCACGGCCACCCCTGGCCAACCTGCTCTCTGTCTCACAGGGTCTCACGCTCCTGGCAGGCCTGCAGACTTTTCTCCTGGGCTCGGGGAATAAGCTTGATAGCGAGGGGCCGGCCTCTCGCCTGGCATTGCTGCCTTCTGTGCTCCTGCAGGTTTGTCCACTTGGGACACCCCTGGATGTGCCAGCGCTGGCGACACCTGCTACGCCCACAGCGCCCACACCTGCTGGGAACCAGAAGCAGCCAGCCTGGAAGACAGGTCTCTACCGGGGTCGGGCAGTTGTGAACGTAGCATTGAAAGAAACGGTACGCTCCATGCAGTATGGCAAACAGAGCAGACAGGACCTCTGGGATGTTTATGGCACAGTGACATGCAAAGTAAGTGCACAGTTGAAAGGGAAAAAATCTAATTATAAATTTTTGACTATTAACTAACTTTTCCTCTTGCTTTTTGTTTTCTCCATCTTTCAAAAGTGTGAAGTGGAGGGTGTGCTTCCAAATGTGACGGTGACCCTCACACTGCCACCAAATGGTTCTCCACTCCAGGACATCCTAGTCCATCCCTGCGTCACCTCACTGGATTCTAGTATCCTGACGGCCAGCAGCGTCGATAACTCTGATGGCTCAGCATTCTCTGGGCCGTATAAGTTCCCCTTCTCTCCTCCCCTCGAGCCCTTCAGACTATGCAGTTATACATCTCAGGTAGGGGACATACAGCTCCTTCTCACATGCTTCCCATTCCACATGTTCGTGCTGCTGTCATATGTGACTCATCCAACTTTATTTATTAGGTTCCTGTTCCCCCTATCCTTGGATCGTATCAACTTAAGGAAGAAGAAAACCAGCTGCGTGTGTCAGTGTCCCTGAAACTTCATGAAAGTGTCAAGAACAGCTTTGAGTACTGTGAAGCACATCTGCCATTCTTTAACAGGTGAACTGCAAAACAGGACAAAATATTTTAGATCTTAAAAGCCAATTATAAATAACAGCAAATGTCAAACTACAGGGAGTTCTTTATTTTTAAAAGAGAAAATGTAATATCTGACATGAAAGGCATTTTAAATTTTCATATGATCTAAAAAAGGATGAGTGGATTTTTTAAATGGCTTGATTTCAATTTTCAGTTTTTTGTAAGAAAACCTAAAATTACTCAAATAGAAATGAATAATCTCAGATGTGACCATTAACAAGACAAAAGTTCTGGTGTAACCATCATTTAAACTAGATTAACTTTAACTTTTTCCTAGTCTTGTGATATATGCATTTGGATGACAATAAATATGACAGTGTGTTATATGGAATATACAACTGTGAAATAAAAGTACAGTTTTTGTTGCATTAGTATAATAGTGACAGCTCAACAGACTGCACATGCAGCTGTGTCAGCAGGTTGACACCGTCAGGTATTATGTTTCCGTCATCCTGTATCGTAAATGAGATTGTGGACATTTGTACTTTAGTTTCAGTCTTGTTTTGCAGAAACATTACACCCCTGGATATAACCCTTTTCAAGGATTTATTATATCAGCAGATCATTCAACTGTCAGCCTCTCACATTTAATACACTAGTCCCTGTGGGGTTTTCTTACAAACTGAAACTTTCCTTTTAAAAGTTGACCAGTCAAGACTGGTGTAAAATATGCTGTCACTACTTGCCCCTGTGTCAGCATCTGTTTAAAAACGCAGCTAAATGTGTTGAACCCATAAAATCTAAGTAATGTTCAATTTCAAAATTCAAAAGTACTGCAATCTCCATTTAGCGTGGTTGGTTATATGAATAATAACATTTATATGTGGGCTGTGTGTGTCTTGTGCAGGGATCAGATGGGTTTGGTGGATGTGAAGGTGAGCTCTGGACAACTGGAAGTTTCAAAGGAGAAGAACCTGCTGGTCTGGACCCTGGGTAGGCATTTTCTCCTGCTCATCACTGTAAATAAAAACACTTTTATTATTATGTATATTTAAAAAAGAAACTAATGAGTAGATACCTGTCTCTGACATATAGGACAGAAGTTTCCTAAATCTCGTGAGGTCACGATGGAGGGCAGGATCACCTTCTCTGGGCCCACACCAGGGCCTGCTGACCCTCTTTGCACAGAACTGACTGCCTACATCAAAGTAGGTTCATATGTGTGATGAAAGTGATGAGAGAAACCTGCTGCAGTAGAAACATGTCTTTAGTCTTAATGTTTACAATGTTCTGCAGTCATTAACAAATCCACTGTTATTTTCACAGTTGTATTTCAAGGTGCCTGACATTACACTGTCTGGATCCTGTGTGGATCAGCATTCAGTGCAGGTTTATTCCTCTGCCAAACCACGGATTGTAACATGTGAGCAATTTTAATGTTATTGTATCAAAACATTCTTGCATTTTTTTATTTTCTGAAAGTAAAAATTGTCCGTCTATCTGTTTACAGCCCGAGAACTACAATCCAAAGAGTACTTTATATGGAACTCAGCAGGTGCTGCTCCGGTGTCGTCTGGGCAGATGATGCTGTAGGGTGGATCTGTAAAAGAGGAGCTTTTTCTTTTCAAGGTGCACAGCTCACCGGATTGCACTGTATTCTATGTGAAGGACATGTGACTCCATTAGATTAAGTTGTTAGAAACTTGTTGTGGCTGGAGTATTCATAAATGAGCACCTGTCAAATGGTTTATAGATGTAACACGTTGTCTAATATTCACATGTAAATAATTTTACAAATCACAGTATGCAAACTTTGACATTTTTTTGAACATACCCTTTCTTGTGGTTAAATATCTTTCATCCCCCAACTTTCACCCTCCCTAAAATTTTTCCCATTTCAGACACAAGGGCCACCCCTCGCTCTGACAGTCCCACTTCAGTGGCTCTCCATCAGCCGGATAATTAGCAGCTGGGACCTTGTCATCAGCTGTTGTGGGCCTGAAGGAGACAGGCGGCTGGCCTGTGAAAGGCCAGGCTGCTCTGGCCAGTGTTTTGGCTACAAAGGGCTCCTCTTTTAGAGCTGGCAGGAGCCCTTACCCCTACCAATCACTCACCCCCGCCTCTTTTGACCCCGTCCCCGCCCTGTCAACTAGTGGTTCGTTCAAACACACAACCTCTCCAACCAGACTGTGATTGAGCGCTGACCCTCTGGCCCTCTGAGACTTTAAAAGCAGACGGTCCCATTCATGAGCAGGAGCTGCCTAATTGGTGAAAAAGTCACAAGGACAGTAATGGTGGGGTGGCCTTTGAGGTTGCAGAGGTGTTTTAACTCGATTAATGTAGAACTTCAGGTATTTGACTTTGATCTTTTTTGTTACAACACAATTGTCAGGGTATGTCTTTCTTTATTTTTACTTAAATATCAAAAATGTATTTGAAGACATGCTTTTGCACAGTTAACAATTACTTTACCTGCACTATGATGAGTAATAATAATGAATAACCAGCCGACTAAGGGTTAAATCTGAGGCCCACTGCTTCTCAGCAGCCAGACTCCTCTGAGTGGCCTCATTGTGTGCTGTTGGCCTCTTGTGCCCCTTGCTGGTCCAAATGCTACATTCTCACGTGGATTTCCACTCTGAAGGCTGACCATGACCAATCCTCTGTCAATTGGAACCAATTGCTCACACGGCATCCTTCACCTTCTTTTTATGTGGCAGTGCGGAGTGGCAGACACCAAGACCTCTCGGCTCTCCCCTCCACGATGATTTGGCTTTAAGGCCCAGTGTATGTGGCTAGCGAACTGGAAGAGGAGATGTTTTTTTTTTTTTTTTYAGGAGTTGGGCCACTCTAAATCTCCTCAATATGTGGTCAGTCTGGCTCCTGTAGTCTGCAGTCACTGGCCTCTCGCTGGCAGACTTTGCTTTGTT